GGAGTTTCTCTCAGTGTTGCTCATCAAGATTTCACTGTCCCTTTCTTTCTAGGAAAAGAAGAGGCTACTGATTACATCCCCACTTTCGTCCAGCACTTATTGATCAACAATCTTACGAGATGGACTAGCTAATCATCATGTTCTTTGATAATTAATAAATTAGACATGAACCATAATATCACTTCCATTAAACTCAGGCACCAACAAAAAGCTAGTCCCGCTAAATTACTCTAAAAATTGACCGTAAGAAGATTACATATCCAATACTAATTATTTAATTACATATTCACTTCTATCCTTGAGCAAGTTTGAGGGTTGAGTTCCAATCTAAGCATTAGCAAGGAAAATTCCAACTAATATAGAGTTATAAGTCTTTGACACCATATTTTAACCCAAAAGTTCAAACATATTTTTTTATACTAGGGCAATTACCTATTACTATCATTACATATTTTTGATAGGGAGTGAAGAAGAGGAGTCGAGGGTCTAACATAATATGCCTTAGGATAAAGATACACCCACCCTCTACCGTTACACATTTTATTACACCCTAACTATTTCCATTATGCAAACTCACGGTGTTTGTTACCCAGCCTTTTTTTCACTCTCCTCTCCTTTCTACTCTAGCTTGTTTACTCTCCTCAGAGGTTAAGATCAGTGCAAACAAAACCTGCAATTCTAGTTGGTGATTACCTGGTTCTTCCTTCTTTTCCCTCCTCCTCCTTTCTTTTTCTTCTTCTTCCTTCTCTTCCCCCCTCTTGGAGAACCCGTGGGTTCTCATGGGATCTGGGTTCTCACGGTGAGAACCCAATCCTTAGCTGTGACCTGAACAGAATCATCCGGGTCTCGGGTTTTGACTGATTGGGATCGGAATCATTGTCGCGGAGAGCATCAACAATGCCTAGGCCGATCTCTTTGGAGCCGAGCTTGTGTCGAGTTTCAGGTTCAGGGGTTTTGGGGGTTCCAGAATCGGACCAGAAAGGGTTTTTGAAAGCAGAGAAGGACTTGCTGTCAAGTATGGAGGTCGGGCTCATTACCGCCTCATTAGCATCGGTGAAAACTTTTAAGGTAGCAAATCCGGTCAACAACCTCGGAAATGAAGTGGGTCTTTTGTTCTTGTCCGCTGGAGATGGAAGATTTGCTCCATTTTCCGCCATTTTCAAAGCTCCCCTGCTTCTTGAGTCTTAATCAAAGCCTGGGAAAGTCGAGCTTTTAGCAAGAAACCGCCATGGATACCGGGAATTTATGATCAAAGCTACCTTTCAGCTAAAAAAAAAAAAAAAAAAAGTAGGGATTTTGATTCTCAGATAAGAGTTAGAGCTTGCAGAAAAGAGCCACCATCTTTACAAAACCCAGAAAACAAAAAGGCCAAACTGGAATCCGTGAGAAGGGACTCTGTTGGCTACAACTCAGTGGCTGCCATTTTTTATTAAAAAAAAAGAAGAAGAAATAATTGAGAGGACGAAGAAGAAGGATTAATTGCAGTTGATCTCCTGATCCGGGTTCTTGTCTTTTCCTAATTTCAAAC